CCTCCATAAGTATGGAACAGATCACTTGTATTGGCCTAAAAGCCAAAACAAGGTTGACTTTTCTTCAACGTTATTTTTGAACTCGAAGAAATTAAAACTGTTATACCTAAATTTGGCTGAATTTAACAACCTTTGCTGAAATTTTAGTCATTAGGGTTCACAACAGTCAGATGTTGTCACACATGATGTGGGTGACAGCATCCTATTCACACCCCGACAGCTCTCAACTGCCCCTCAACACATCATCACGCCCCCCACCCCACTCAACTGCGCCTGTCTGTCTGCACTTTTTTCTCTTGAATGCATTAAAAAGGCAGAAGCCAGCAGAATAAAAGAGAACAGACTCTGGTATCAAGGACCACTTTGATGTATTTTAGGGCAAAGATGGAGGAGCAAATCAGTGGCAAAACATTAAAGGAAAGCAGTGCTTTTGAAAATCAAAAATCACATTAGGACAAGTTCAGCTTGGAGCTGCCACAAGAAAACACACGACTGCATCTCACAAGAGTGAAGAATGGGTGAAGACAGGACTGTTTAATTCTCTCAGCTTCCTCTGAGACCCTCCTTCACATCAAGCCTTTGAAAATGTTCTTCATGCAAATCATTCAGCTCACATCATCTCGTTATATAAGACAGATTAAACACTTCCACTTTTAAAATTGTTTAGAACAAGCTTTGATAAAAAAAATGTTTCTTCCTCATCAGATGAAATGGGCTTTTCCTTTTTCTTTTCCTTTCTTTTCTTTTCTTTTCTTTTTTTATGTAGTTTATTGTAAAAAAGACTAATGATACTTAGACTCATGCAATCATGAATGCATGGATGGGTGAAGATAAATATGGATTCACGTTGTCATGAAAAATGAGTGATCATGTTATTATTCGTGTTTTTTATTTTGTCTGTTAATAAAATATTACATGAACCATGCAACAGATTTTAGTGAACCTGTTAGAAATTAATCAATGTACATCTACAACCATTACATCTACAACCATCTACAACCATTACCCTTTGCAGTAAACCTGATTCAAAACGGCTGCCACAGCTAATGAATCTTCACTAAACAAAAATAGCTCTTGTACACATATTATTCTAAAATTTGGTGTGGTAGTAGCCGAGAGGCATAATGGGTTTCTTCTGAAAGGAAGAAGTGGGTAYRGA